AATTGTCTGTCAGATATCCTAAATCTAGATCAATATTTGTCACATGTGTGTACACTCGTGTATCACTCAATACTTCCTTGCAAGTGCTTCAAAAAATTAATTCGATCTCAACAAAAAAAGTCAACTCTTGTGGAATTCAAATAAAGAATTGAGTAAGGAAAGTGATTCTAGAATGATTCAAGAAGTAGGAATTTGAACTTGAATGGAAATGCCAAAAGTAAATTCAAGAAAGTGTTTCTTGAATTCCTGAACGCCTTTTTTTTGGTAAATTTCAAATTTTATTTTTTACTAAATGTCCAAGAATTCAACAAAGAGCCCAAAAAATCGAAAATGAATTGATTTGGACACTAATTTAGCGCACAAACAACTTTAGAATTTTTTTGTATTTGAACTGGATTGAATAACTCAAAAGTTGAAGAACACGAAGAACAAAGATGAAGACTTGAACAAAAAAAAAACAATCAAGCAATTAAGTGATATAATCTTGATTTTTGGAGCCTAAACTCTGATACCAAATGATGCGAACCCAAGTAGCAATTGAAGCTACGAAACCCACAATAGATTAGATCAAACTTAAGAAAGCCAAGAATCAACTTTGAAAAGCTCGATCCAATAAATTATTGAACTAAAGAACTAAGACAATCGCCAACAATATCTTGACCGCGTGATCACAAAACTTATGAACGTTACTTAAATTGTTGAACGCCACTAGAATTTAATTCTTCATAAATTCAGAATTAATTCAATGAAGAATAAGTTGAAAGCAATATGCCTCGCAATAATATCTTTCAAATTGTGTGTTTTTATAATGAAAAGAATAATCATATTTATATGGAATCCATAAAACCTAGTTAAAAATGGAATTACACCCAAAAGATATAAAAAAGATACCATAAAAACAGTTTTAACAAAAATAGAAGTCTAGGCGAAATTTGGAAAAAACACGTCCAGAATTGTACTATGCAGCAATGATAATAGCACATTTGTTACGTTTTTCACCCATTAGTATTTGCGTTGCTATGATTATTTGACACCTAAATGC